AACACCAAACGTGGAAAAATGACACTTTTATTTTCACCATCTATAGGGGTGGCTTTTAGGGGTGCGAGCGCCGCAATTGGATAATGGATTTTGGTTGGGTATATTTTTAGAGAATTTTTGGCGGTATTTTTAAGAAAAAAGCCGAACACCAAAGGGTGAAAAATGACACTTTTATTTTAATCATCTATAGGGGTGGCTTTTAGGGGTGCGAGCGCCGCAATTGGATAATGGATTTTGGTTGGGTATATTTTTAGAGAATTTTTGGCGGTATTTTTAAGAAAAAAGCCGAACACCAAAGGGTGAAAAATGACACTTTTATTTTAATCATCTATAGGGGTGGCTTTTAGGGGTGCGAGCGCCGCAATTGGATAATGGATTTTGGTTGGGTATATTTTTAGAGAATTTTTGGCGGTATTTTTAAGAAAAAAGCCGAACACCAAACGTGGAAAAATAACACTTTTATTTTCACCATCTATAGGGGTGGCTTTTAGGGGTGCGAGCGCCGCATGTGGATAATGGATTTTGGTTGGGTATATTTTTAGAGAATTTTTGGCGGTATTTTTAAGAAAAAAGCCGAACACCAAAGGGTGAAAAATGACACTTTTATTTTAATCATCTATAGGGGTGGCTTTTAGGGGTGCGAGCGCCGCAATTGGATAATGGATTTTGGTTGGGTATATTTTTAGAGAATTTTTGGCGGTATTTTTAAGAAGAAAGCCGAACACCAAACGTGGAAAAATGACACTTTTATTTTCACCATCTATAGGGGTGGCTTTTAGGGGTGCGAGCGCCGCATGTGGATAATGGATTTTGGTTGGGTATATTTTTAGAGAATTTTTGGCGGTATTTTTAAGAAAAAAGCCGAACACCAAACGTGGAAAAATGACACTTTTATTTTCACCATCTATAGGGGTGGCTTTTAGGGGTGCGAGCGCCGCATGTGGATAATGGATTTTGGTTGGGTATATTTTTAGAGAATTTTTGGCGGTATTTTTAAGAAAAAAGCCGAACACCAAAGGGTGAAAAATGACACTTTTATTTTAATCATCTATAGGGGTGGCTTTTAGGGGTGCGAGCGCCGCATTTGGATAATGGATTTTGGTTGGGTATATTTTTAGAGAATTTTTGGCGGTATTTTTAAGAAAAAAGCCGAACACCAAAGGGTGAAAAATGACAGTTTTATTTTTCACCACCTATAGGGGTGGCTTTTAGGGGTGCGAGCGCCGCATGTGGATAATTGATTTTGGTTGGGTATATTTTTAGAGAATTTTTGGCGGTATTTTTAAGAAAAAAGCCGAACACCAAAGGGTGAAAAATGACACTTTTATTTTAATCATCTATAGGGGTGGCTTTTAGGGGTGCGAGCGCCGCAATTGGATAATGGATTTTGGTTGGGTATATTTTTAGAGAATTTTTGGCGGTATTTTTAAGAAAAAAGCCGAACACCAAACGTGGAAAAATGACACTTTTATTTTCACCATCTATAGGGGTGGCTTTTAGGGGTGCGAGCGCCGCATGTGGATAATGGATTTTGGTTGGGTATATTTTTAGAGAATTTTTGGCGGTATTTTTAAGAAAAAAGCCGAACACCAAAGGGTGAAAAATGACACTTTTATTTTAATCATCTATAGGGGTGGCTTTTAGGGGTGCGAGCGCCGCAATTGGATAATGGATTTTGGTTGGGTATATTTTTAGAGAATTTTTGGCGGTATTTTTAAGAAAAAAGCCGAACACCAAACGTGGAAAAATAACACTTTTATTTTCACCATCTATAGGGGTGGCTTTTAGGGGTGCGAGCGCCGCATGTGGATAATGGATTTTGGTTGGGTATATTTTTAGAGAATTTTTGGCGGTATTTTTAAGAAAAAAGCCGAACACCAAAGGGTGAAAAATGACACTTTTATTTTAATCATCTATAGGGGTGGCTTTTAGGGGTGCGAGCGCCGCAATTGGATAATGGATTTTGGTTGGGTATATTTTTAGAGAATTTTTGGCGGTATTTTTAAGAAGAAAGCCGAACACCAAACGTGGAAAAATGACACTTTTATTTTCACCATCTATAGGGGTGGCTTTTAGGGGTGCGAGCGCCGCATGTGGATAATGGATTTTGGTTGGGTATATTTTTAGAGAATTTTTGGCGGTATTTTTAAGAAAAAAGCCGAACACCAAAGGGTGAAAAATGACACTTTTATTTTTCACCACCTATAGGGGTGGCTTTTAGGGGTGCGAGCGCCGCATGTGGATAATGGATTTTGGTGGGGTATATTTTTAGAGAATTTTTGGCGGTATTTTTAAGAAAATAGCCGAACACCAAATTGTTGTATTTGGACATTCTTTTTTTCACAATAGACATAATATGATTAAGGGTTGTTTTCACCCTTAATGTGAATAGTTTTGGTTTTTTATTGATAATTATTGTATTATTAACTACTCTGAGTGATGTTATTGGGTTTTTATTAGTAAATGAAAAAAAAAAATTTTCGTTCATTTGATCGTTCCAAACTTTTGTCTCATTAAAACTCTGCAGTACTAAAGAGCTTCTCGGAGGGAAGCGAACTGGAGAAACGACCGGATAATTTGACGATATTGTTGGAAATTTGCGCATTTCAAAACCCCCACAAACTTCGTATATATATATGTACATATTGCTTCGCTGTTTGTGAAAACTGATTTGCTTATCTTTCTTTAGGTAAATGTAATAGTCAACAGTTCAGACTTCGTTTTATGTATTAAATTTTTGTTGTTGCATAAGTTTTGTCATAATTACATCACAATACACCAATTAAACTTGGAGTTAAGTTTACATTAGTTTAGAATTTAGTTTTGCGTTTAGATGTAGTTGGTTTAGTTAGAATTGAGTATCAGAATTGTAGATTTCATGATATACTCTTTTTGTATAATTTCAACTTGTATAGAATTTTAAAAAAATTACGGTTTTATGGATATTTTTGATGAAACTCAAATTGAAATAACTGATAATGAAGATGAAGAATTTTTAACTAAAACTGAAAGAGATTTTGATGATATAGAAGTTGGAGTTAGAAAAAAGGTTTACTATCCGTTCATTAAATCCTGGCCCCTCTAGTTTTTGTTGAATAACTTCGCGAAAAAAAATCGCTATTAAAAATGGAAAAAAGCATGTTAAAGACAATTTTATTACGAACAATTTGATATAACTTTTAAGATAGTGTGTCAAATAGTGTTGATAATACGATAAGGAAATGGTGAAAAAACACGGGAAAAACGATAAATTTTTCATTACTGACTTTCACCCCTTACAATTTAAAGAATAATGGTTGAAAATTGAAACAAAAAATCATGTGTACACATTACTTATTCCTAAATAAAATTGTTAAGAAAAAAATTAAAAATGTTAATTAGTTTAATGTACAAAGTAAAAAAATTAAAAAAATGCAATCTCAGCTTCCAACAGTCGCATAAATTCAAATTTTAGCTTAAAATACGTGAAAAAATTCACACGTATTTAATATAAATTTTCAAAGTTCTGAATAAATTAGGAAAAAAGTTTATTGCAAAAATTTTTTTTTCAATTTTTTTCGAAATCAGAAGGCCTCGAGTGAAAATGAGTCTCCCATTGTTGACGGTCCGACAATGCCCAGTTTATTGCCCACTGCAGCAAGTGGCAGAAAACGCCAAAGGCGCAGAAAATGGAATATTGAGGGGAACAAATTTTTGGTCTCTGTTTGTGAGTTGTGGACATTCAAATCCAAAAAATTTCTTTTAAATATTTCACAAAATTTACACTTTTTTGGATTTTTTGGATTTGAATGTCCACAACTCACAAACAGAGACCAAAAATTTGTTCCCCTCAATATTCCATTTTCTGCGCCTTTGGCGTTTTCTGCCACTTGCTGCAGTGGGCAATAAACTGGGCATTGTCGGACCGTCAACAATGGGAGACTCATTTTCACTCGAGGCCTTCTGATTTCGAAAAAAATTGAAAAAAAAATTTTTGCAATAAACTTTTTTCCTAATTTATTCAGAACTTTGAAAATTTATATTAAATACGTGTGAATTTTTTCACGTATTTTAAGCTAAAATTTGAATTTATGCGACTGTTGGAAGCTGAGATTGCATTTTTTTAATTTTTTTACTTTGTACATTAAACTAATTAACATTTTTAATTTTTTTCTTAACAATTTTATTTAGGAATAAGTAATGTGTACACATGATTTTTTGTTTCAATTTTCAACCATTATTCTTTAAATTGTAAGGGGTGAAAGTCAGTAATGAAAAATTTATCGTTTTTCCCGTGTTTTTTCACCATTTCCTTATCGTATTATCAACACTATTTGACACACTATCTTAAAAGTTATATCAAATTGTTCGTAATAAAATTGTCTTTAACATGCTTTTTTCCATTTTTAATAGCGATTTTTTTTCGCGAAGTTATTCAACAAAAACTAGAGGGGCCAGGATTTAATGAACGGATAGTAGTCACTGTATAGTAGCATCGCAACAAAAACGATGCTGAAGTACGCAGCGTTTATGATAAACGATTTTTAAAGAAATAATTTTTTAGAATGAAAAATTCCATAATTTTTTGCCTGAAAAATATTTCTTGTAGTTTTTATTAATTTATTAATTATTTATTAAAGTTACAAAAATAATATAAGAGGATATTGATAATTATTTTAATACTCACTAACTATATCTAACACCGAAGTGAACTTTTCCACTTTAAATTTAAGTTAATCACAAGTTAACTTTATTTTTACTGCCTAATTTAAATTTAAGCTTGAGATAGGTTTATTGCTTTCCAATTTAAATCGACAATCTTTTAATTGCATTTGCTACTGCGCGAGAACTAATAGTAGAAGATAGAAATAGAGCTCTAAATAGAAAGTGATTTTCTATTTATATAAAAAAAAATTACCAATTTCTCTAATGAAAAAAGCAGAATCACAATATGAAAAGTTGACTTAAGTTAAAAAATTAATTAAATATAAATAATAATAAATATTCATATAAATACTTACTTGTAGAATTTCTGGAAAGGAAATTTTCTGTTCGTAATGAATCGTTGTAGAAAAATATACGAATTTTTGAGTGTCAAAAAAAATTATCGTTTCCTTAATGGATAATTTAATGGTATTGCGTTACGCTTTGAAAAAATACTGACGAGAAAAACTTGACGTACCTTGTGACCGAGCTAAAAACTCCTAAGGCTTCTCAAATTATTAAGCTCGTTACAGACTCCGTAGCAGTGCCGACCTGAGCTTTCTTTTCAAACGCTCATAATGTAAAATTGTAAAAATTCTACAAAGTTAAAATTTCCATTTTTTTTTTTTTGCAAAAAATTTCTACCAACGGAATAATTTATTAATATTGTAAGTACAATATTTACTAAAAAAAAAAAAAACGAATACTAAATATATACTTTAAAAAAAGGGAATTTTAAACCTACTTTTGTAGCTGAATATGTCAACTTTTAAGTTTAATTATATTATTATAAAACTGTAAACTAATTTCGTCTAATAAAAATAATTGTTATAGTAATTGATAAATTGTTGAAAGTTATTGCAAAATGATAATAGAATATTTATTATGTAATTAAATGAAATTTTAATTCCTACGAAGACAGAACTGGTGACTGTTAATATAAATTATAATTAAAGAAATAATTTTTAAAATTCAAGAGAAAATCTTAAGTTTTTTCTTTTGATAAATATCAAAAGTTCGCACTAGCTAAAGATATAAATGTGCCCTCTCTCTCTCTTTCAACATTATTATTATTATTATTATTATAGAATTTGTACCTTCTTTTTTATTCAGAAAGTTTTCTTCGATCAAATTGTAGTTCTTGTGAATTTTAGGTATTTATTGTATATATGTATATACAATAATCTCAAGAGCTTTAATCGTTAAGCGTGAACTTTTGTTCCTGTTTATCTGATTCCTAATTCCCCTTGAGATTATTCCATATTCTCTCAAGGGAGTGCATGCAATGTTCGATGAACCATGTTCTAGTTTATAAACTGGCAAGAGCAATGGGGCCTTTCATTTAAAAACCAAACAATTTCCACCAAATTGAAAGTGCACCTGCCATTCATTTATTTTCTCTCTCCCTCTCTCGTATTTCAAAAAAAGAGTATTATAAAAATTGAAAAAATCATTATTTTAAATTTGATATTGTACGGCAGTTAACTGAACTATGTACATACCAATTTAACTCGATTTCGAAACAAACTTGAAAATTCACAATATGCAATCAATATAGCAAATATTCAATATATATATATATGAGGTATTCCACGCAAAATCAGACACCATTTTGCATTTACATCTCCGATTTTTTTTTTTTTTAAATCTTTTTTTCAGTATTAATTGAGACATAGCTTCTATTATTTTTTTCATTTTTTTTAATCAAGCCATTTACAAGATATAAATTTTTCAAAATTTCAGAATTTTTATGATTTTTTATTTTTGAATGCTCATAACTTCTTTACCAATGCATCAATTAAAATTTTTTTTTTAAATTGTGTTTTTTATGTAAACTTTTCGAAAATTCTTTGCAAAAAAATTGTAGAAAAATAATTTAGTATATTTTTTCAATTAAAAATTAAAATTCTATTTTTAAAACTGTAATAGGTAACAATTTTTAATTGCACACAAATAGATCATGATAACGTATACTATATTATAGACATAGAATCAAATTCAAGGTAGTTTCTCAGTTTAATTAATAAAAGACACAAAAACTTTTATTTCCGCTTCTGAAGAAACTTTTTTCCTTCGTAAAAATAAAGAAAAACTAACTTTTAAAAACTTTTTTTTTCCCCTTATTATATTCTCCCATGCAGAAATTGACATATTTTGTCCTATTTAATATATAAGACTTTAGTCAGGGCCTCGACAGTTTTCCCTGTGTGGAAAATTATAAATAAACTATATTTTTAGGGGTGGTTAAAGTTGTTGCCTACAATTAAACTGCATACAGGAAAACTACACACGAATTAAATTAATATTTTATAATATTAATAAATTATTTACGATTAATCTACACACCGTTAAACTGCGTAAAGCAAAAATAAATTTGTAAGCATTTTTCCTGATATATGCAGTTTAGTGTGTATTTGATACCAAATTGAATCAATTTGTTGCAATTTGATATTGTCGGAGTTAACAGTGATCTTATCTAAATAATATATAAATTATCTTATATCTAGATAATAGCACTTAGATTGTATATTTATAGATATTGGGTTATATTGTTTGATGATAATCTTATCTATATTATTCTTGTGAACAATTTCATCTACATTATCTTATATCATTAATAGATTATTTCGTCGACTTATTAGTATATCAGGAATTAAAATATCTCGATAATTTTATGTAGATTATTATTATTATTATCATTACAAAAGGTAATTATCATCACTTTAAAATTAGTGAAAATGATATAAAGTCTATTAATGAAAATAGCTTGAGGGTGAAAATGATCTAGTGATCGGTTAGTGGTGGAGTATCAGCCAACAGATTAATTTACCCTCCGCACGTGAAATAACTGTGGTCGACTCCTGAATTATCAGGACATTTGCTATTGCCCACGTGGCAGATTGTATGGCATCGTTTGCAAATTTAAGCACATTATATACATAGATACATGAATATATATATATATAATGTCGAGTCGAGTAAAGGGAAGTAATCATTCATCCTCGAGAAGCAAGTTTCATTTATGATCGATACCCTTGAGGCGTTTGCCTATTCTTGAGGCAAATCCAGTGAGGAAGGAGGATTGGTGAGAGATTGACTCGTAACACGGTTATCTTTACCTCCTTTCCGAGATATATACATATATATATACCGATGGCATAAATATTGCAATTGTGCCACCAGTTAAACGACACGTTATACTCTTCTCTATCTTATATATATATATATATTGTCAAAATGTATCGTCGTGGGAAATTTCTCGCTCGACTGCTGCCAATTCGCATTAACTATTATTACAATGATTGATCTTTTTGAATTCTTGCCAGATTCGTTATTGGCCCTTGAATCGAAAGACCTACATTCAATTCACGAGGGACTCGTTAATGTTCTTAATTACATTTTCTTTCTTTAAATCTTATTTTCACGATTTCAAATATGGTAAATGCACCAGTACCTGGAATTGAAACGTATAGCAAAAAAAAAATTTTAATTACCTTTAGATAGTTTGCATTTAGGCAGAATTAAATTTATAAATCGTAGGAGAAGAAAAATTATACAAAACGATATAAATATTTAATAAAATAACAATAAATTCTTTCAAAATTCACAAAAATTTAAAAAACTTATAATATATTTGAAAACTTAATCACATTGATAATAATGGTTGCTATAACCGCATCATTGAACCACTAATAACTAATGAGCCAATCGTCTTTATTGGTAATTCTCAATTGGGTCAATAACTTTATTATTGATCCTTATATAATTAATCTCACCCTTCCCAAGTTATAAGGACATATTAACAAAGTTGAAATCATAATTGATAATAATTAATAATTATATTTAACTATAGGTAATAGAAATGAAATTAATTGGAACTATGTCGAGTATAGATTTAGAGATCAAGTGTATTCCATCAAGTCTAAAGTTTCTTGATAATATGTCGAATTCAAGTTGAAACCGAATCAACCGCCAATCCAACATGCTCTATACCATTAGGGTCGGAGTTTCGAGTTCACATATATATGGTTATTATGTGTACACACGCATGAATGTGGATTACAACTAGAGTTATATTTTATATATATATATAGATATAAGATGTTTGGATCAAGATGATCTCACATTCTCTTAAGTTATGAGGGTGAATTTATGCTAAGACAGTTTCCTTTCCGAATATATGTATATTTTATTATGTTATAAGTACTCTATGTGATCACATCAAAAAAAAGGTGCGTTGCGACCAAAAAATTTGATTTTGAATTTGATGTCAGTTTTTCTAATTTCAAAATAGCGAATTTAATACGGAAATAGAAATCAAATTGATGGAAAAAAAGATTTCTTCTACCACTTTGGGACATAATTTGTAATTTATTTAAAGAAATTGTTTATAATATTGTTAAATAATACCGAATAACAATTTTTTTTTCATTTTATAGTATTATTTTACTGAACTGAAACATTTAAGTTAAAAAAATCAGGGTAACATTTTTTTATGTTATTTTTACAAATTTGAAAATTTTGGCGGCTATTTTGAATTAAAAAATTTATTTTTTGTCATCATGCCTATCTGATAGTCCCAACATTTTGGACGCGATTTTGATTAGAAAATCTAATTTTAAATATAAAAAAAACACTCAAAAAACCGTGTTTTTTTGTTTAAACAATTATAACTTTTTATCATATAGTCCAAATTGAAATTTTCTTATAGATTCTAAAAGAGAACACTCTTTAAAAAACTTTATGCCGAATTTTTTTAAAAGCCCAACTCGTAGAACGGAAAGCTCAAATTTGAACCAAAGAAACGAACTTGCGGAAAAAACGGAAAGATTGCGCTGTGCTTCTGCGTCGATTTCACGTGCATGCGTATATGCATTTATTGGAGTTAACCAAATAATTTTAGTTAAATGAAACAAATTATTTTTAACTAAACAATAAACAAAAACAATTTGGTTAAATGGAACAAACAACTTTAAATAAAAATTTTGTTTCTCTTAATTAAATGAATTTTATGTATTTATTGTAATAAACGAAATTTATATTTCAACTAACTAAACTTTTTAATTGTGCCAAACAAAATAGGTTAATTAAACTGTTTGGTTAAATCAAATTAACTTTTTCTCTAAGTGCATACGTTCTATGTCGTTTAGCACTGACTCAATTTTATTGCACTTTAAATTGAGTTTGAACTCATTTTAAGTTTAGGTTTTTTCTGTATAGAGGTGTATTAATATTATTAATATCAATTATTTATATTATTTAATATTACTATTGGAATTAATATTTAAAATATTTTATAAATTCGAAAAAATTCCATATTAACTACAATTTCTACATCGCGAACTCAAAATAATGTTCATAACACACAAAAATGAGTCTATTTTGTTTTTCTATAATTTTGGAATTATTTTATACATATAATTTTAGAGATAAATATAATATTGTATTTACAATAAATTTTCTCTCACTCAATA